AGGGGATGGATACGAAGAAGGAAAGGAGGTAATGCGCAAGGCAGGAGCTGGGTATGGGGTGGCTTTTTGGGACAGGTCACAGCTCGGCAAGGTTTCGGTTGCTTTGTCTGCCAGGCTGAGCCCTGGGGTCACCAGGGGTTTAGGCGAGCATCGCCGGCATCGCCTCCCCAAGTTCACTCGAGGGCGAAGGATGGAGAAAGGGGCTTTGCGGACCAGGCTTGCCTCCCTCGGCCAGCTCCGCTGGCAGCCGGCCCCATCGCAGAGGGACGCTTTTGGTGACCTCTGCTCCCTGCCCTGCCGTGCCCCCACCACCACCCCGCGCAGATGGGGCGCCCGCCATTATGTAAAGGCACCTCGGCGAGGAGGCTCCTGCAAGTGAGGGGAAATTTGTCACCGCCAGCCTGCGGCGTGCTGGCGGGGGGGCCTGGTGACTCAGCCGGCCGGGGGGGCGGTGACAAGGCTCCTGGCTCCCGCTCGGGCACCGTGGGCGAGGTCCGCCAGGCACCCGCAGACGGAGCACACAGCTCTGCTGCCGCCTTGCCGAGGGCTCCGCTGGCCCCGTCTAACCCCAGGAGCATGGGCATGGCTGAGGCACGAGCTCCCAGTTCGGGGCTCCTGGGGAAGGTGAAGAATTTATCACAGAAATGTCTCCCTTCTGACATCAAAAAAAGATGTCTGAGCCAACCCAGACACAAGCCGTTCTCCAAAACACAAGCCCTGGCAGCTGCCAGACTCCAAGTCACAAACTGTGGCATCAAGATGGGGAGCTGAAAAACCTCCATCTTTATGCACCAGGGTCTCAGTAGAGTTTTCCAGCCTTGAAGGGACCTGCTCGCCCATGGGTGATGCTGAGTGCCCTGTGGGCGCCGGGGCTGGTGGGGCTGGAGCATCCCTGGAGCCCATCAGGGAGTTGCATTCCCAGAAGGTATTTCAGGACTTGCTATTTTGGGTCTTGCCTGCACCTTCGTGTTGGCCACTTCCATTATCCCCCAACTCGATTGTTTCTGGGCATCCTGACTCAAAGCCCTTTGACTTTTTCCAGGCACCACTGCCAGGCTGGAGAAGCTCGCCCATGTCGAGAAGTACGAGACGGTGATGCCGCGCAAGGTGCCAGCACCTCGGGGGAAGAGGGACCTCTCTGCACCACCGGTGAGTAGCGTTGCCTCCCAAATACTGGCTCGGCACAGCTGCCCTCGCTGCCTTGCAGGGAGTCCAGGCTGGGTGTTGCAATCAGCAGGGACCCTTGGCCCACCACTGGGCTTGGAGCTGGACCCCCTTGGCCCTGTGCCAGAAGAATGACCTGGTGCTCATTTTCTTGCATTGCTTCCCTCCCAGAGGATGGAGATCTTGAAGTAGTTGATCAGATCAGCTTTCCTGGACTGTTTTAGGTCAAAATAGGAACTGCAGATAGCTGGGTGGACTCTTGGAGGGGGGGGCCTGCTTTCTCCAATGTTTTCTTCGGAGACATTACCCAGCAGTGCCACCTCTTGCAGCCTTGCAGTGATCTTGTGACATCTGGTCTTTGCTCAAGGAGGGATTTGCAAAGCCTCATTGAGCTGTAAGTACTTTTCTTGCTGTGTTTGCTGAAGTTGGGTTTTTTTCGTCCTTTGGGACAGGAAAATAAGAATCAGAAAGTTGCAGAAACCCACATGAAAGAAAGCCAGTGTTATTTTTCCTGGGAAACCTTGTAATTTGGGGGAAGGAATGGGGTTTGACTCAGGATTTTTGACTGCTTGGGGTTGATGTCCATAAGATGATAGCCTTGACCTCAAAGATGCTTTCCTCATTGCCTTAAAGTGAAATTCAGCCAAATACGTGGATTCATCTTCTAGGACCAAAAAGCACCAACTTTAGCACCTGATGAGATGGAGGGGCTGGGGACATTTATTTCCTAGTAAACTCTTCGTACAGCACGTTCATCTGTGATTCAAACCCTTTCTGATAAACTAGCTTCAAAAACACTCCCTGAAAGCATCTGTTTTCTCTGCTCTAGAAACCTAAACTTGTCCACGAGATAAACATTCCCCAGGCTATTTAGAGACACCATCTGTGCCGGGTGTGCTGGGTGGCTCAGCACTGATCCCCCTGGAAAGGGGAGCTCACCCATCTCGGGGTCCCTATGCTTTCCACAGCACAGGAGAAGACATCTGCCTTGAGCTGTGTACTTTGGGACAGCCATGGGTGGTGTCTGCTGGGTGGCACCTGGATTCGGTCTTGGACTGGGCGGTCCTTGGACCTCCCAAACCTGCTGTGTTGAGGGTATGAGGGCTCCCGCCTTTCAAGCCATTTTCCTCCTTTTTCACAAAAGTTCGATTTGCTCTCCCAGTAACCTTGGTGGGGAAGAGGTTCTCAGCAAGGCTTGACCACCACCAAGCCCCTCTTTGAAGTGGAGACAGGTAGCTGGACGGGCATTTTCTGTGCCAGCTCCTCCTGTGGCTTTGCATTAGCAGTCTCTGGCTGGAATGGGCATGGGCCAAGAGCTGGTTCCTGGGTCAGAGCAGTTGGGACACATGCGGTTGGTCCCGCAGAGCATCTGCCAGGTGAGGTTTGAAGCAGACCATCTCCCCTCTGGCTTTGTTTAAATCAAAATGTTCAGCCCTGCAGACAGGGTGGAGGCCTGGGTCCTGCAGCACAGGATCTCCTGGGATCTCCTGGCTGGGATGCCAGCCTTCCCACAGGCCATGGTCTTCTCCTCCCACCTGCCCTTAGCAGAGGCACGACAGGGCATGTGGCAAACCTGGGTTCTTCACGGAAAGGGACCTGAAAAAAGAGCAAGAAGGGCCTTCAAAAAGATTTTTAGTTTTATGCTCTTGATTGCAGAAGTGATATCTCTTGTCCCCATGCTCCAGCATTTCAAAAAGAGCTGTATTGAAACAGCAGGGTGGTTTCCAGCCTGTATAAGACCCAGGGTTGCAAGCTGCTGGCTTCTCCCCAGCGCGCCTATGCTTGCACATCCCTGCTGATCTCCCCCACTACATCCCAGAGCCAGTTGATGCAAAGAGGCAAGTCCCTTGCCTGGGTGGAGACAGCCCAGTTTCTGCTGGCCCAGCCTTGGGCTCTGCAGGAAGCAGCAGGGTGTTGCAGAGTGAGCAGCGGGGCCGGATGGAGCAGGAGCAAGGCATGGTGGTGGCCCAGTGACCCATCTTCTTTTCCTCCTCTCTTGTGCTGCACCTCATTTGACACATGCATGGTGCAATGAGCCCCATCCCTACTGTCCTAGCGAGACCCGTTGCCTCTTCCCACCCACGGAAGAAGTACCCTGTGCTGGAGTGGGACGGTGGCATCATGTCCCGATCCTCTGCAAGCTCTTTGGGTGTCTTAATATGACCAGCTGGAAGAAATCCCTCCTCTCTGTGTGCTGTAGCCACGGCTTTGCTTGCTCAGCATGGTCATGGGGTTAGCAGGGCTCAGGCAGGGACAGGGCTGAGCTGCCTGCGCTTTCAAAGCCTTCCCATCTGGAGCCCTTGCAAAGCCCATGCTAATAAGGAAGGGAGTGATTCAGAGAAGCTTTATCAGGATTTTTTTTTTTTTTTAACTTGCCCTGCGGTTGTCTCCAAGAGACGGTCTCTGACCCACCCCCCCCCTTCCAAGTGCTTTCCTGCCATTTCTTAAGACCTCTTCTGGCTCCGGCGCTGCCAACAATAACAAAGCATCGCTTTGTTGGCAGACATGGGATGGGATGGCCACATCAGGCGGGAGACGCTGTTCATAAGAGAAGAATTTGCTGGGGACCCATGAGTGCACCCGCATGCTGGCAGTGTGCCTGCCTGCAGCCGGGGCTGCCTGGCCACCTGGTAGGCTTGTTGCAACCTGCTTGGCATGCAGAGAGGATGTTTTGTGGCCAGCAGGCCGTCACTTCAGATTGGAAATGCAAACTGGGTAGAATTGAGGGCAACCGAGTGACGGGCAAACCCTCTTACCTGGCCCCGCTGGCGCTGAGTCAGCAGGACTTTCCGCTCAGCCCCAGCTCCTGCGAGGTTGCAGATCATCCCCCTAGGAGCGCTGAGCTGTCATATGACAGCAGGTGCTGTCATCCTCCCCAGGGAGAGGCCGCACACCTCATCTGGGAAGAATGCTGGCCCTGTGGGAGATGCTTGCTTTGCCTTCTGCTCAGCTCTACCCCAGGATCCCATAAAAGCTGAGGATGTGCCCTCAGGAGAGGTCTGCCTGCTGCGGTGGTGGCTGAGGAGGTCCCTGGTGCCAAGGGTACAGCTTGATATGGGGCACCATGCAAGGGATCATCATCTTTCTCAGTGGCCCTGGTGGGACAGGACCCCTGGAGGTCTGTGGCCCAGCTTCTGCAGATGGAGATCACAAGACATCCCAGAAGGAAACACTTCTTCTGGAGGGACATCTCCATCCTGGGGCTCAGGGCTCAGCTGGGCTGAGCCACAGCCACCCTGACCCAGCCACAGTGACTGGAGGTTGGACTTGAGATGCCTTGAGGTCCCTTCCACCAGCTCAGGGGATCTGGCACATGGTGATACTAAAATCTACTCTCAGTAGCAGATGAGAACCAAGAGAAGGTTATTCTCTAACCGTGATGTTGCATGTTGGATCAGTCAGAGATAAGGAAGTCTCTGCTGATGAGAGCCGTTGGGCACCGGGGATCTTTGTGGTTCAGCCCGTGAGTAAGTGCTGAACTCAGTCTCCATAAAAGGAGCTTTGTGATTGATATGTAGGAAACCTCAGTTTCTGGCATGGCCATCTGCAGCCATGTGTCAGACACGGGAAACCAGACTTTGCTGACTCTGTTTCATTGCTGGTGACCTGTTCTTTATCTCAGGATGTGCTGGGGATTTGCGTTATTGCCCACATGCTTTCTTTCTTCTCTTCTGATTTTCCGTGTCTTTGCTGGATGCCTCCAGGGTGAGCAGCCAGGCTCCCCGTCCTGCAGCCACCTTCCAGCGGGGCACATGCAGACCCCATCCCCTTTCTGGGCAGGTCCTCTCTTCTGTAGCTCTTGCTCCTGGTGACGGTGGGTCTGTGCTGTTGTCTATCTTTCATACAGAGCATCTACCCAGACCGCATCCTCTACAGTGTCCGTGCCGAAGGCAGGGACTACTTCCTGTGGCTGGAGAAGAACAAGTGAGTATGGGTGGGCACAGCGGGACGGCCTGGGGGGAGGCTTGATTCCCACACTTGCCGTGAACATCACTTCTCCAAGGTCCGGTGTCACCACACCAGCTATCTAAGCCCTCAGCCCAGACCCTCGCTAGCAAAATATTGCATTTTTCCCCCCTCCTTGCCAAACCCACCCGGGGAGGTCATGGGCCCACCGCACCGAACCTGACCAACCTCATCCCCAAAGCTTTCCATCCTCTCCCCAAAACCGGGGTCGCTGCTGACACCCCTTCCCCATCCTGCAGGGAGCTGCTGGGGCAGCACTACACCGAGACGCACTACTCGGCCGACGGCACAGAGATCACGGAGAAGCCAGACATTCAGGTACGGGGGCTCTGGGGAGAGCAGTTTTCCCACTCCTGTGGGGTCCCGCCATGCTGACAGCTGGTGCAGACCCCCTTTACACGTCTCCTCTTGGCTGCAGGATCACTGCTTTTATCAGGGCCATGTGCGAGGATACGCTGACTCAGCAGTGAGCATCAGCACCTGTGGCGGGCTCAGGTAGGACCTCCGATTCCCCTGGGGCACTGCGGCTGGCCGGAGGACAGCATTGAGCCTGGCCTTGGTGCACACCACGGTGCTGCTCCTGGCAGACACAGTGCTGTGTAATGGTGAGCCGGAGTGACCAAGCCCCGGCCAGCCAGAGCTGTGCTGATGGAGGGAGAGCTCAGCTTTCCCCTGAGGAAAAGAAGAAGACATCCCTTTTCCTGCTGGCAGTGGGAGTGCTGACCGCCCTGGCTCGGCGCCCAGCAGGAAAGGCGCATGGTGTTTTGCAGCTAAGCTTGCTGGTTTTTGGGGGGGTTGACTCATGGCACAGGATGAGACTGGAAACCTGAGCATGACAGGAGGTCGGGGCAGGAGTGCCCTCCCTGGGCAGCAAGGCACAGCTTGTCCCAGATCCATCCTCTCTTCCCAGGGCAGACCGGACCAAACTCCCCCCGAGTGCTGCAGCCAGTGGCACAAAGGTGTGCTCGTGGCGATGCATCAGCTGGCAGGCAGCCGGCATCTCCTCCAGGCCATGCCGAGCTCCTAGAGCTGATGGCTGAGTGCCTTTCTAAAACAAAAGAAATGCATACGGTGCATCAGGCCAGCTGTGTCTCCCTCTACCCACCGGCTGCTGGCTGTGCTGGTGCTCATTCCTCAAAAGCTGCCTTGGGTCTACCTGCATTTAATGGCAGAAAGCATCCTTGCAGAGTAACCCAAGCCACCAGGTCTATGCAAGGTTGCTCAGTTTGCCATGGAAGATTCGTATTCTGCTGTTCTCTTTCTTTTAAGATCAGCTGGCAGCCAGACATTGCAAGAGAGTAAGACAGAGAGGAAGGGGTCCCTCACAGGGGGATGTGTGAGGAGGGCAGGTGGTCCCTGGAGCACTGAGGGACCTGCAAACACCCATTTGCAGGAGAAACACCTGCTGGAGCTGTGTGGCAGCCTCACTTTGATAGCAGGGGTTGTGTCTGTGGAGACCTTGGCTCGCACAGCTTGTGCATACATGGGACACTTGATATCCTTGTGTAGTAGGAGAACAAGATGTGCGAGGGCAGGACAGGAGACAAGGACAATACAGACAGGGCATATGGCACACCTTACAGAAAGCATCTTGAAGGCCAGAACTGCTCAGCAGAAATGCTGTGTTAAACCTGGCCTGGCAGCGCTGGGCAGTTCTTGCTCAACCCTGGGAAATTTCTGCTGCCCAAAGTACAGGATACTCCCCTTGCTACCAGACACAGATGCAGTGTCACGGTTTGCTCCCTCCCAGTCCAGCAGCCAGTTCCAGCCTCCCTAACAGTCCTTTTGTTCAACTGGTGCTTCTGCAGCCTCTGAAAGGAAATGCTGTGGACATGGTTCCTATTGCTCCCCATCTCCCGGCATGCCCCAGGTCAGCTCAGTCCTGCAGCACCTCCTTCATGTGCTCTTGGGCCAGGAGAGGTTGCAAGGGAAGATGCATCCAGTCCCTTGTGTTGCTGTGAGCTCCTGCACCCTATACCTCTGCACAGCAATGTGGGGCTTCATGCAATGCCCAAGGGCTGCTTGGGGCTTTGCATTGAGTGTGGTTTAATGCATGTGGCCAGAAGGACCTGACTATCATGTCCCACTAGTGGCCTGTAGCTCATCCAAGCTGCCTATGGGAACCATGAAGGGGTAGGGTGGTTTCCTAGCTGGGATTTGGCAGCTGTATTTTGTATCACAGGCACTTGCAGGGGCGCCTGTAGGGTCTGTCTGTGTCCTGCCAGATATCTCCCCAACCTGACGCCTGCCCTCTCTCTTGGCAGTGGGTTTTTCCGAGTGAATGAGACCACCTTCCTGCTGGAGCCCCTGGAGGAGGATGCAGCCGGCCAGCATGCAGTGTACAGAGCAGCTCACCTGCGGGGGAAGCGCGGCACATGCGGAGAGTCTGGTGCCACCCTGGAATATGACCACGAACCGAAAATTCCTGCAGCCATGAAGCTCTACCGCTGGGTTAAGGATTGCTTTGCTTCTCCTTCCTGTAGCTGAGTTTGCAGGAGCCTAGGTCCTGTGAAGTCCAGGAGAGGAGTGGGGCCATACTGCATCTCTTGGAGATGCTCCTCTCCCACGCATTGTTGGTTGGGTTACCCAAACACGGGTTGCTCCCAGTGGCCTAGCTCCTGGTGGGAACAAGTCCTCAGATCCTGTACCATTAGCAGGAGCATCCTCCTACCCCATGAGCTCTGTAATGCCCGCAGAGCCTCTCTCATGCCTTATCCCAGTAGCAGGCTTGGCTTTTTCCTTGTGCGTTGGAAAATGTCTGAAACATCCAGCAAAGTAACATCAGAAAGCAGAGCTAGAAGACCTACTAGCCTTGAATAACACTGGAAGATGCCCCAGGATCCAACACATCCCACAGGAGGGTCAACCACAGGGCTCGGCAAGCTGCAGGGCTGAGGCCCTATTTGCGCTCACTTTCCTCTTTCCTTCCAGAAATCAGCTCCGTTACACAAAGGTCCCCGATATGTGGAGCTGGTCCTGGTTGTGGACAACGAGGAGGTAAACATGGGGGGGGGGGGGCAAGCTGGTGCCTGCGTTTTCACTGTCATCCACTGCAGTGAGGAGGTTGAAGCCAGCCTGGAAATCTCTCTGTGTCTTTCCCATAGTTCAGGAAACACAAGGACTTGCGCACAGTGCAGAACCGCATGAAGGAAATTGTGAACCACGTTGACAAGGTGAGCCCAGGGGTCTGGATCTGCCCTCCCTGCTCCCACACGTGCCCCGCAGTGCCAGCACAGGCCTGAATACGGCAGAGGAGAGATTGGTGTGGGTAGGGAGATGGGGCTGGAGCCGATCTCAAGCCCATAGTTGGGCTGCCATAGGGTGACCAACTCCCTTGGCCAACAGGGTGTGCAAAGTGGACATGACAAGCAGCACAGCCCCGGGTCCTCAGGAGCACAAGACGGCTGCCTCCCAGCTCTCTCATAAGGGAAGGGGGGAGAAATTTCTTCTCGTAACTCCTGGGAGCACGTTCCATGGGCATTCTCAAGCTGGAGTGGGTGGTAATGAGGGGAGGGTGATGGATGCAGTGCACAAAGGCGGGGCGATTTCTGCTTGCCTTGCTTCAGCCTCAGTCTTTGGTCAGCAGCGTGGGAGCAGCATCCCAGCCTTCACTAGCCAAGAGGGAGCCCAGAGGTCCCAGGGTAAACCCTGTCTATGTGGTCACCCCAGCTTGTGTTATTTATTGAGGGGGTGACAAAGCTGATATTGCACAGTGAGGTGGGGTCCTGGACTTAGTTGTGGTTTCCCAGGGGAGGTGGGACCTTCCCTATGCTTGTGCAGCTCAAATCCAAGTGCTCCCTGCGGGCTGTCTCCCACACCAGCTTTATCAGCCTCTTCGCCTGCGGGTGGCCTTGATTGGCTTGGAAGTATGGAGCCACAAGGACAAAATCATGGTCAGTCCCAACCCGGAGGTGATGCTGGACAACTTCCTCCACTGGCGGGAGGCAGAGCTGCTGCGGAGGAAGCCGCACGACAATGCCCAGCTGATCACGTAAGGATGGGGGGCCACCACCTCACCATCCTGGCAACCCTGCTGCCGCCCAGGCCGCATGGCCATGGTGGCATCTCAATCCCACAGGGGCATAGACTTCCACGGCACGACCGTAGGGCTCGCCAAGAAGCTTGTGATGTGCACCAGGGACTCGGGCGGTGTCAACCAGGTGGGTCCTGCTGCCCGGGCATGCGCCGGGAGGGCAACAGTGGTCCCACAGTCTGCACTTCCTGCACTGTGTTTTCCAGAGCAGGTCTCACCTCCACTGGTCTCCAGCTTTTCCCCTCCGCAGCCTTAGGGATGGATCTGGTTCTTGGCATCTCCGACCCTTGAGTGACTTATCCACAGAGAAGTGTTGGGGCCGCAGAGGAAAGGTAGCTGTGGAAACCCAGCTGGGTGCCTGCAGAGGGCTCTGATATACCTGAGCCCTGAAGAGCCTCCCAGACCAGCTCCGTGGACACAGGGCTTCTCCCACCACCTGTGAGATGGCTGGGACTTGGTTTGCAATTGCTCCTCAACCATCCTGGCTGTGCTCCTCATCCCTCCCCAGGGAGGGCATCCTTTGCTGGAGTGGGAGTGGTTGGCCATGGGACCTGTGGCTGTCCAAGAACCACCACAAAGCATTGTTTCAGGGTAGCCACTATATCTAAGCTCACTTACACCTCTGAGAGCCCAGTATGGAGGTCTTCAGAGGCCATGGGACCAAGTCCAGCTTTTGTCGTCCTTTACTTCAGCGTGGCAGCATTAGGGAATGAATTGCAGACAGCAGCGAGACCTGGCATTGAGCAGTTGAAGAGCCCCAGTGGGCCCCATGGAGATGCTGTGGAGAGCATTTGAACCATGCTGCACTTCTTGTCCCACAGGACCACAGCACGAATCCTATTGGTGCTGCGTCCACCATGGCTCACGAGATGGGGCACAACCTGGGGATGTCTCATGATGAAGACATTGCTGGCTGCCGCTGTCCTGTCCCCAAAGCTGATGGAGGATGTGTCATGGCAGCAAGTGTTGGGTGAGTGAAGGAGAAAGGGGAATATCCCTGGCCAGCAAATATCTCAAGATGTCCTCCGGCACTGTCCTGATGGGGTGAAGCCTGTGAGATGGTCAGGTTTGGGTGGACACTTCACTTGAAGCTGCACTTCAAAGGTCTGTTCGTGGCCCTCCAGCTTCTCCCTGGGCTGGTGAGTGCAAGGGCCCTCGGGCTCTCATCTCCGCTCATCACTGCCTGTTTTTGTGCCCCTTCAGCTTGGTTTACCCCAAGCTCAGCAGCCGCTGCAGCG